TGATTATTAGATAATGAATAATACATATGAATTTTTTGTTTGCAACAGTTCCATTGTGTACACGATCTCGCATCCGGAAAATCTCATTCAAAATTATAAAGATATGGCTTTATGGCATAGAGCCCACAACGCGAGGCAGGCGATGAAAGTAAGTTTAAATGTGAGCATTTTCAGATATTGTTATAACGTACCCATACTAATCATTTACATTTCTTCCAGATAATATTCCCTGATCTCCAGTTTCTTGTGATAGACACAACTTCAAATCAAAGCTTTAGAATTGAATGCCGAGTAGCCAGGTGCAGGTTGTGCATCAGCCTGCCAGTTAGGTGAGCTAATAATTAATTAATGTTAGTAGCATCTTAACATATTTCCATTTCATTACGATCACGAAGTTAGCTGATGAATTAAAATTAAAAAAGGAGGCTTGGTTGCCTACATTTACAGTAAAAAATTTTCATTTGTGCATGACACATGATAAAATACCACTTCTTCATACCGCTGGGTGTGAGGTACCAGATAGAAGCAAATTAACTCACGCACAAATTTCATCTGAAAATCCATATGCAGCACTTTGAAGGTTATGTCATTCAAGATTCTTTTCATCTGTCGTCTCTGAGAATTTGTCCTTGTCTCTAAAGTAAAATGCCCCGGTAAAATGTCATAGCTGATCAAATATTTTGAGTCTTTATGAGACACTGTGTCACAGTAGAGCTCTATGATGGGTATTCCTTGGCGTGCGAGTTGCTGTCGGATAGCCTCTGTTGCAGCCGACTGCAAAAAAGGACATATTCCAGTTTCTTGTTCCTTCTTCTACGGAAAGAATATTCGGACACTTACGTCGATAACTTCAAATTGATCCATATTGCTGGGTTTTGTCACAACGGTGAACGTGAATGCTAGCAAACCAAGAACAGTAAGCAAACAAACGCAAATAGCTGTTTGTAGACTTGACTTGAACGATAGAAAGAGTTATACAGCCACAGACTGCCGACTGCCCCCCCTTCCACCTCAAACCAACTGCCTCCCGCCGGTCTCAGCGGCGATGGCGGGTTGCCTACCTCCCAGGGTAGTGCCTGGCCGAGGCGCTTGCGGGAGTGCTTTTAATACACGAAATAGTCCGTACGCTACGAACCCTAGTGATTTCCCCCTCGGCTTTATTAACTCTGGCGTCACTTGTTATGTTAACTCGACCCTCCAGGTGTGTTAAACGCAGGGATTGACTTATAGAAATATTATGAACTAAAAATAAGATTAACTTTTAATTAATAATGATTATATGAATAGTAATGGCTCTCTCCTAATCTTTACTGTTTCTTTCAATCTGTTGCGTTGTCATCAGTTACTTTTACACATCGACCATAAGTAATTTAACTAATTCAGTTGAATTCAAGACAATTTACATTCAATTCACGTCACTTCGAGCTAATATATCTCCATTGGACCTTCAGCCATACGAAACCATTGTGAAACGCACAAAAATATCCACGTCTTTAACTTATTAGTGAGGTCTATTGAGACCCAAGGGAAGGGTAATAAGTAAAGTGAAGTGTCCGAATTAAGTAGTTACCTTTTCCTTTTCAGTACATTTATATGTGTCATCCTGTTCCTGTTGGGAGCCGAACTGATTGTCATGTGCGTCCGTCGTGAGAGGGCCGACCAGATTGGAAATCTGACGGTTGTAACAACGGCCATTGAGTATTCTAAAAATATAGAGGAAATATACATGTAAGATGTCACAGTCTCCCAGGGAAAAAAATTAAAGTGTCATACAAATGGCAATGAAGGTTCAATTTGTGAAATGGCGCTGAGTAAGACCTGAGTTCCTGCTGCGTCTCCTCTTTTGGACAATAAATATTAATTTTGGCCCAGCATTCGAGGTAGTAATCACTACGAGAAAATGCGTACACCTTAACTTTACACTAAGCTTCCCTACTTTCAACCATTTTTCGTAATTTTCCCTTCACTTTCCTATACTTTTACAACGTTAACTTCATTTTATGCCCATATCAACTGTATTTTATTCATTTTTGATTGGGGTTAGATATCTCTGTAAGGGAGAGTGGGGCACATAGAGTCACTTTTGGGAAAATCTTCTCTCACAGCCCTAGTTTAGGCAGCATTACGGGTTTTGGGGTTGGTGAGCCTCTATTCGACCTTCAGTCACACAAAATCATTGAGACCCGCGTAAAAATATTCGTGTCTTCTCTCACATCATCTCGAGAAGAAACCTCGGTAATTGACAGTATGTGCCCCGGGGGTGGGGCATTAGCTGTCACCATGTCTGTATCGGTATATAACTCATGGGAGAAGTGGTTTCTCGAAATGGTCTTCATGGTATCTCGGAAAGGATGTGCCAATGGACGCATTTGACCCCCGAAAATCAAAATTACACTCAAAACTTTTCTGCTACAGCGGATGATAAAAAGAGTGACAGTACCTGCCCCAATTTGGGGGAATTACTGTCAATAAATTGGATGTACGCTGCTGCTACACCTCTGAAAGTTTCGCCACTCCCATTTTGCAATCAAATAAAGGTGTAAAGAGGTTGCGATTTCACAAATTAGATGACTTAAAAAGTGAATGGGCTGCTATTGCCAGCTCATTGACAGTATGTGCCCCTGACAGCTGGTGCCCCACTCTCCCTTACAATAAGCATCCTTGTGTCACAGCTTAAATAATTTTTAAGGAATTATATTCTTAAACTACAACAGTCTCCTACCACCACGCACCTCAATCAAAATTATGAGAGATCGGAAACAAAGATTTGGGTCAGCAAGGCTTGCCTGCAATCTGATCAACGCACGATTTGTCACTTTTGCCCGCAATTTCTTCACGGCTTTGTCACTTTCAGTCAATGTTTCGTCACTTTCACTTTAACTTTTAAACAAACAACACTAATTAATTGCCACGGATAATGAAAAACTGTCCCATGCCATTTTGAGCGTTTATTGCTAGGCACTGCTGTTAGAAAATTCATTTACTCGAGAGCTAATAACTAACTTTCATTGCAGGTCTCCCGAAACCTCCCCAGGACCGCCCTTCCTAGTAACTATGACTTATTGCTTTGAATAAAAACAATTACAGCACCTCTTGTATTGTTTTTCATTTTTGATTCCGGTTTATTAGTAGCAATATGCACAAGAGTTTCACTGCTTGAGAATAGGCTATACGGGGTGGTTTTTTCAGTGAAAGCAGTTGAATACACCCAGAAAAGCGTGATCTTTGCCGCATCCCGGCCGAGCGTATCCCGAACAGATCCGGAGCCAAACTTGAGGACGATTCCTCACTTATGCGCTCGCTAGCGCGAGGTGCTGGTCAGGCGCGAACGGGACTCAAATCAAGTGCATTCGCCAAGCACCGAATTTCAAGCCCCGCGCTGGGATTGGCGCGCTCGATTACGCTCGGAGGCGGGGGGAAGGGGAGGGGGTTATTGCCTGTGTCACGTCTCTCAATCACACCCAGAAGACCGTAACTTTGACTTAACGAAATCACGAACTGACGACATTTTCGTTGATTTGAAGAAAAATTTCTTTATCTCAACAAAAATTTGTTCAATCTGACAAAACTTTCGTTCAGTGAAAGAAATTTTTTCGTTAAATGAACGAAACAGATTTCTTTGGTTTCTGGCACGAAATTTTCGTTGAATTAAATAAAATTTCTTTCATTCAAAGAAACGGTTTTCTGGGTGCAGTCCGAGAGAGTCAACGCGCTAGCAAAATGGAAGACGACGCGAGTGGTATGCTCGTCGCCTACGGGCTGTCACCTCTTGTTGATGTTTGCCGTGGTAAGTGAACTTCACTTGAAAAATCCAGTTTGTGTTCCCGATCGCTAGCAAATCCTTACGATTGTATTTGGTTATAGGTCAACGAGTTGGTGTCAAGGCACTGTTGGCCCTCGAAGAGGGGGATTTTGGATCCCTGTCCGATCTGTTCGGAGACAA